TCTCCTGCTTGGGGCAGTGTTTGCAATTATCCTCCCAAAAAGGATATCTGGACAAGGCAGCGGCATGTCCCTGCTTGTCCTCAGGCCTGTGTGTGTCTGTGAACCGAGAACCTTATAGTTTCCCCAACCACCTGGCCAGTTGCCCCTCAGGATTCCTAATTCTAAAGAGCTGTTGGAGGAATGCATGGACTGCCCTGACCACCAATTTTCTCCCATACAGATAGTGGTGAAATAGATTGAATCACTGCCAAGAAATCCTTCCTGGTGGCATGGTGGTTTCTCTTAGCAGAACTTTGACTGTTGCTGTAATAACAATACTGCCCTCAAGCCATAAGCACTGGCCTGTGTCTGATAGGAATTTTGAGACACAGGTGGGCTAAGACAGGAGTGGTCACAAGGGCTCTGTTGAACTCTGCAAGTGCAAATACCAAGTTACATTTAGGTAGCCACTGAAATGGTTTCCCTTTCTCACCCAGCCCATGCAACTGTTTTGCAATATCGGCAAACCCATGAATGAACTTTGTATACCTATAGTGGGTACTGGGAGGGGCAGGTCTAGGCCTACTCAAGACTAAAAGCCCATCCCCTCAACCGAGGGAGAGGAACCACTGAGCCCAGGCCACAATTGAGTTTGGGGGGCAATGAATAACAAAACCGGGACAGGAGCAAAGGTCACAGCCCAAAACAAGGGATCCAGAAGGGGACACTAAGCACAGAACCTGTGACAGCGCCCCACTGCTCCTCAAAGGAGTCCAAGGAGTCAGTGGATGCTGCCCATACAAGCTCTGCCGGTAGACGTGATAAAACAAGGGACCAGAAACAGCCCCCCCCCCCCGTTGCAGAGCCCCACCCCCTGTCAAGTTTCCTCCTTCTGGTCCAGTGGATGGCCATCTTGGCCAGTGCCAAGAGGAGGCTGATGAGGTCTCGTGACTTTGTGGAGCCCCAGAGGGGGTGTGCAAATACAAGGAAGTGTAGGGAAAAACACAGCCAGGACCTCAGCAGGAGGTTCTCATAGAATATCAGGGTTGGAAGGGACCTCAGGTCATCTAGTCCAACCCCCTGCTCAAAGCAGGACCAATCCCCAGACAGATTTTTTGCCCCAGATCCCTAAGTGGCCCCCTCAAGGATTGAACTCACAACCCTAGGTTTAGCAGGCCAATGTCAAACCACTGAGCTATCCCTCCCCCCTCTGGAGGAGCCTGAAGAGGGGCTGCAGCCTGATGCACTCTATGCAGATGTGTGCCAGGGTCTCCCTTTCACTGGAGAAGGGGCAGGTGTCGGGGAACTCCGTCAACTGCACCAACCACACGCCCATGCTCCCGGCTCCATGGAGAAGCTACTAACCGAATCCCCAGCAGGCCATGGGACTAGGGTGAAATATCGGCTGGCCCACCAGGGTTCCTCACACTCCACAGGTGACACACACAAGAGCGAAGACGTGGATGGTATGGAGCATAAACATGTAGAGATGTTTGTGGGGCGTGGTTTGGAGACAGACTGAGTGGATGGCATTCAGCCAACTCAGGTGGTGTACGGGAGCCATCTGGAGGGCTCGCGGGGCAGAGACCTGACAATGAGCGCTGGGTGGGGAGCACCATCCTGCAGGACCTGCTCGATATAAGTGGGAGAGAACCAAGGTGCAAGACTGCCCTCACCTCCTGGAGCACGACGGGACACGGAGAGTGGGCAATCCCATGTGCTGGCACTTCAGGGTCCATCCAATTCCTTTAGTGTAGTCCAGGAAGTCTCCGATTCTGGTGACATCAGCCAGGACCATCCATTACTCCAGTCCTAAATAAAGGTCTGCAAATATGTTAGGTGGTTTAGTGGAGGTTTTTATTCCAGGGACAGATGACAACTAGGGACGGTACTGAGATCCCCAAACTCATTTCACATGTAACATTTTACAGTCAGCTTTGAACGTGATCTCCCAAGGCCAGTCAGAAGAACCCACAGCAGCAACTTAGCCCCTTCACAGGACCTCTTCAAGACAAACCTCTCCAGAATAAATAAGATTCTTTCGGTGGCATTTACATGTGGTGTAATAGTAACATCAGTGGCTACCGAGGTTAAGTGGAGGCTGATGATCCGTAGTTCAAGAGAAAAGTGACAGTGTGGATTTGGATCAGGAAGCAGCATTCATGAAACATGCTAGATTCCCCAGCTTTGGGGCTCCCAATTGCATAGGGGCAAAGAAGATATTTCTACCTGCTCCCTACCAGTGAAAACATTCAGTTATGGGGTAAGCAATCGTGTCTCTCTAAGAACTAATAGTGGGCCTACAAAATAGGTATTGCAGTAAATAGCAGATGGATAGTGACATATCACGGCCCTAGATGGGATTTTCTGAAGTTCTTAGCGTTGGTCTACCTCTGCTCCCACTGAAGTCAAGATGATTTTCCCCACTGACTTCAATAGGAACAGAAATAGGTCAATGCCAAGTGGTTTTGATCTCATCTGGAGTATTTTCTTTGCAGAAAGGGTCTGACAATAGGCAACCCATTGCCTTGAAAATGATTTCTGAACAGTTGTTATTCAGGGTGGATCAATGTATTACACCTCAAGCCTCCCACAGGGACAACGCAATTGGGACATTCTCTGTTTAGTTTCTTAGAAAATGGCATGAGTGTGTTATATAGAAAGGGTAGTGACTCCTGTCACAAAGCAGACCCTGATGCAACCTTGATCTACATAACATGATTGTGTTTTTCAGCGAAACAATATATTTGGTTTCACACCCTGTGGAGTGATGCACTAGATCCATAAATCCTCCTGCTCTCAAGCCCACTGCATCATGGGAAGTGAATGATGCAGCAGGTGTAGCGATGTATATGTTTCAATCACGTTGCCTGTATTCTATCCCATCAAAGCTCTAGAGGCAGAACTGATGCCACAAAGGAGATCTGCAAACCCTATGCTCTCTCACGGGACTTTAAGGGAAACAACAAAAGAATAAAAATAATCTAAAATTAAAATTAGACCTGGAGTACAGAGTAACTCTTGGATGGAAAAACCTAGCAGCTACCACACAGAATGACTCTTCAGGGCAAGCTATGGGCTTAGACAACAAGAGTATGCTGCCACTGACACTCAACTAGATAGCCCATTCTCAGCTCATGCAATCACCGCCACTACTAAAATGTCAGCACACCTACAAGAGATCAGCTCTTGGACGAAGAGCAGATGGCTCAAGCTGAACCCAGGCAAGACCAAAGTGATGCTGGGTGGAAAGGAGAAATGCTTCAAACAGCTGGCCAAGTCGCTGTCTCCATAGAATCATAGAATATCAGGGTTGGAAGGGACCTCAGGAGGTCATCTAGTCCAACCCCCTGCTCAAAGCAGGACCAATTCCCAACTAAATCATCCCAGCCAGGGCTTTGTCAAGCCGGGCCTTAAAAACCTCCAAGGAAGGAGACTCCACCACCTCCCTAGGTAACGCATTCCAGTGCTTCACCACCCTCCTAGTGAAATAGTGTTTCCTAATATCCAACCTAGACCTCCCCCACTGCAACTTGAGACCATTGCTCCTTGTTCTGTCATCTGCCACCATTGAGAACAGCCGAGTTCCATCCTCTTTGGAACCCCCCTTCAGGTAGTTGAAGGCTGCTATCAAATCCCCCCTCATTCTTCTCTTCTGGAGACTAAACAATCCCAGTTCCCTCAGCCTCTCCTCATAAGTCATGCGCTCCAGACCCCTAATCATTTTTGTTGCCCTCCGCTGGACTCTTTCCAATTTTTCCACATCCTTCTTGTAGTGTGGGGCCCAAAACTGGACACAGTACTCCAGATGAGGCCTCACCAATGTCGAATAAAGGGGAACGATCACGTCCCTCGATCTGCTGGCAAAGTCTTCCATTGAAGACTCACAGCCCCCGTTGGTCAAAGTGGTGGGTGCCTCAGGATCCTATTTGCCTCCTGGATAACCAGGTAGCATCAGTTTAAAAAAAAAAAAAAAATGCCTTCTTTACCTCCAGCTTGCTAGGAAACTTCATCCCTGATGAGGGCCTGGCTGCAGGGCTCCAGGCGTTTGCACCTCTGGGTTGGATTATGGTAATTCTTTGCATCTAAAGCTGAATGTGAAGACGATGCACAGGCTTTCTGCCTCCTCCATGACTGAGGCCATTGCGAGCACATCAGGCATGTGCTCAAGTTCCCCCAGCAGCTCCCCATCAGCTTCTGATACACCAGTTTAAGGTCTGAGTTCTCCTTTTCAAAGCAATTCATTGAGCTAGCTCCAGCTTCAACCAAAGACCAAATATCCATCTATGAACTACCATGGCAGCTGCGTCCCTCTGGGACAATGCAGCTCCCACAGCCCGGGACAAAGCATTCTTTAGCAAGGGGACCCCGCTAAGGAACAATCTTCCAGAGGACAGCAGGCAAATTCAGACTCTCACTGACCTACATTGCAAAGCCTTCCTCTTTGAGAAAGAAACTCCGCTCTGTAATGCTCCTAAATCAAACACCCCGTTTATACCCACACCCCGACCAACTCCACCCCTCCCCCCAAAAGAAAAGGAAGAACCCAAAAACCTACTCCAAGCAGAATTTTGACCTCTAAAAAGGAGATGTGCTAGAGATTCCATGAAGTCCACTCAGGGTTTCGTTACTGATTTTATGTGGAAGGGGCTCAGATGCTCCAGTGATGGGCATCAGTATAAAACCCTAAAATAGGTAAGTGTTCAGAGACGTATTATTCCTTTAGCTTTGGCTCAGGCCATAGATTTATAGGTACAGGGGACTGGTTAATTTAATCTCTCCCTAGTGTAGAGCCCTCTGTTCAGAGCCCTCTGTTGCCCACAAAGCCAAGTTCAGTATTTAGTTTTATGCTAGACCTAGCAAAGATTTATCACCATCGAACCTGGCAGCGTCAGCTCAGCAGTGGAGTAGAAAAGAGGGGTGTTAGAAGTGATTTGAACTGCAATCAAACATGAGCAGTAAAGAACTTTCTCACTAGGATAAGTTACAGGGGTCAGAGAAATACACAGTGCTGCTTTTGTTTTAAACTCAGTTTGGCTTTATAAAAATACACAGCTTAAAAGTACATCAAGTCTCTAGACAAGACATGCATGCGTAGGGTCATTTCAGTGTTTCCAGTCAGTTCATGTAAACAACAAAAGCAGACATAAATTCAACCAATAGAATAAAAGGTATTTTTATAAGAGTAAAACACAGTGCAGTCACAGTTTATATATCCAACACACCAGAAGGGGTAAGGGCATCCCTGAACATAGGAAGTATTTCTGAACAACAATCAGCCATTAACAAGACTCTTCCTAGAAGCTGGCCTTTATGGCTTGGAATTGCACCAACCAGCAGCAGAATTATTTATCCTTCCTTCCTGGAAAATACACAGAGAACTAGGTTTGAAGCCAGAATCAAGTGGTTTCCTTAGCATAGGAGATGAGAAGGCCTCCAAAGAGCTTAAGAATGTAGACTGACCTAGCTCCACATACTCCAATGCTGATTGAACACCAGCACAGGATCTGGCCCGTAACATTTGAATTTGCTTTCGGAGAGAAGAAATGTTGCTAATTTAAAAATAAAGTTAACCTTATGGAGCAATGTCTCAAGTGATTATTTATATGTCTGAGGTATAACAGCTGCTTTTCAGCAGATCTTTTCTCTCCCTCCCCCAATCTCCCTGCAATCTGGCATCAGAAACCTGGTGTAGATCAAAATAATGTAGTCTTATGAAATTCGCAGCCAAACAAACAAATCAACCTTTAAATTGCTTTTGGCAGCGCTGGGGGGAGAGACAGATAAGTTGCCTTGAAAGTGAGAGGGAAAGGATGTCTTGAATTGCACCAACTGCATGAAATAATGGATTTTAAGAACGGAAAACTCTGTTGTGGGGTGCGTGTGTGGAATTTGTCTTTAATTTGCTTTTATTTCCCACTGTTTAATACTTTCATAGCTTCAAGCCTCTGTCCCCTACTGATTGTCCTTTTCTAGCTGGCACCCATGGAAATACAAGGGAGAAAGCTGATTAGCTGCCTCAGACCCGTAGGGGGAGCGCACAGCTTTGTTTCTGTGTGGTTCCAGCAAAAATCATGGCTATAGTTTCTCAGGAAGAGCGCAATGGCCAAATTCTGAGCCTAAACTACTGACCGCAGCCTTGTAAGAATTAGGTCGCGACGTCAGGAGAACTCTGACTAAATGAGATGCCCAGAATGCAACACAATATGCAAGACAAAGAAAACAGCATGTGAAAATACAAAGAAGCTGCACCCGGGTTTATGGCAATTTTATCTTGCACGACATTCACAATGGTCAGAAGACTGAACTTCTAATCTAACAGGTTAAGCAGGGGGAGAGACTTATTTGAAGTGAGAAAAAATACACCCACAAACGAAGCCTACTCTCCACATAACATATGATCCAGTGTCAAAGTTTAAAGTGCACAGGTGGATCAATATACAACGGGTGGTGCTCTCATTTTTGGCTTGGAAGTCTCACCCTGGACATTTCGTAAGAGCTAAAGCATTCCCTTCACACCACCATAAAATGAGTGCAATAGTTTTGCTCCTCTAGCAGAAGAGATGATTGCTATTTCCAGCACTGTCACAGACACAAGCACGCACCTCCGGTCTCACAAATGTCTTAACCCCATTTGCTCTGGTACCCCTAGGAAGCTGCATTACTTGCATGCAGTTTTGCAGTGGAGGAATTTTAAAGGGAATGAACAAAGTGTGCAAGGCTTGGGTGCCAAAAGAAGGGGCTCTGTTTTCAGAGGTGCACAACAAAACCTGGGCCTGTATTTTCCTGAAAGAATTCCTCAGTGTGTTAATTTCCTCATCCTACGTGCAAGGGCTGTGGGGGCACACTGTCCACTTGAACAACCCCATGAGGACAGGCTTGTACCCACTGGTACCTTAATCAGTATCATGCCAAGTTTGTGGAGGGCCAGAGACACACATGTGAGGTTTAAGCAGCTGCAGAGCCTGTGCATCCCACTCTGCTAAGGTTATTTCAGCGAGCCAGAGAAAGCCCGTGGTGGGAGATTTCAGGCTGTAACTGGGAGGATATGGCAAGGATGACAACACTGGGTAGATGGGCCTTGTCATATTCGTAGGGACATTCATGCCATCATTATCCAGGTGTGACTACAGGAAGAATATCTGGCCTCCGCTTAGTGACAACAGAGCTTCCCAGAGCTGGAAGCCTCCCAGGCTCTAGGATCATAGTGAATGGGGCAAATCCTGCAGTGTTTGTTCTGGGCTGGCCTGTGGCCTTGAACCTGCCTTCGGGGAGAGGTGGGAGTGGCTGTACGCGGGCGGCAGCAGCAACACCCTTTAAGGGCGCAGTGTGCCCTTCCCAATAAAGCAGCCTGCCCGTAGCACATGCTGGATCTGCAGCCCTACCCATGCAGGGTTGGTGCCCGAGCCCCCAGCAACTTGCAATCGGAGAGGGGAGAAGGACAGAGATTGTTCCTGTTATTTGAGCAGCAATGCTGGAGCAGAGGGATGAGGACGACAGACAATTCCTTGCACCCTTTCCTCCCCAGGCAGGTTTAAGCACCATCTAATCCTTAATCTTTCCTCAGGCACATCTCTCCTGTTGGGTTTAGTATTTCCAGGAGTGAAGTTTTTGCAGTCTGGCTCGGAGACCGAGAAATAACTAAGCTTTTTGCTGTGAAAGTCAGACTGCCTTTGACTTCTGCGGGCTCAGGATAGGTGGTACTGCTTAGCACACGAGGAAACATAGAATTGGCTTGTCCCTATGAAATAACTTAGTCTCAGGGGCCATGTCCTAGACATGCCAAACAGGAGAGGGCCTGATCCTGAGGGAAGCTGAGCGCTCTGCTCCCTGTGAAGTCAACCGGAGCTCAGGGTGCTCAGCATTTCAGGCCCACGCTGCTGAAACAGGAATCTGGAGCAAGCTCAGGTGCGCCAGGGGTGAATATTGTTTTAAGTCCAATCTTAGGGCAGAGGATTCCCTGGTGCATTGCGCTCAGCCTCTCCCTGCGGACAGTTGGCCCACAGGCGCGTGGCATTTGGTTTTAAACACTCACGTCCCGGATTTCATCCCCGCTGTGCTCTCTTTAGTGAATTCGCTGGGCTTTTGGCATAGGCACAAAGAGCAAAGGCCTCTGCACTCAAGCCACATTTGAGAAGCTGCATTCCTCTGCCCTCCCCAGCGATAGTGCTTCCCAGTCTGGCCGGAGAAGGGTGTTCTCCCACCAGGGACAATTCACTGCCCATCCAAGTTCCATATCGGGCCCTTACTTAAGAGGCTAAGAAATGGGCAGGCTTATGTCCTGTTGTGACCAAGAAGTCAGCCCCTGATCCCACGTAGCTAACACAGAGGTCACTGACATTCTCTACTAGTTTCAAGGAATCAGGGACCATAACCTGAGTTTCCTTGGATCTCAGAGGCATTTGTAGCTGCCTCTGCCGGCATCCTGCCTCTGAATCTAGAGCAAACACAGAGCCGATGCTGTAAGATGATCATTCAGGCCACAGCACACGGGACTTGGTTGTGCTGGAGTAGGCCAGATTGCTCTTGCTGTTTTTAGCATTGGGATAAACAACCACAACGATGCGCTCGAAGCCAGCCCCTCCCACTCATCTAAGGAGAAGCCTCAAGGGCCAGTAATGCCTAGTGGGGGAGACTTCATTCAAGAATTCACCTGAAACAAGACCGGGGGCCAAATCCATTGTTGATGAGAACTTGTGCAACACCACTGTCTTCAGGGGCGCTGCACTTGCTTACGCCAACCATGAAGCTGGGCCTCAGACTCAGTCAGGAACTTGCTCCAGGCTGGGTGCATGGGACACAGCTCCTCTGCTCAGCTCTCGACATAGAAAGAAACTGGCACATGGTGAAACGCAGCTACTGAGGGCCAACTCCTGTTCCTACGGCAGTTAGTGGAAGCAGGAGGAGGCCCCTCGTCTCCATTACTAAAGTCTCCATTACTAAGACAGTAACGGGTGCTGGGGAGGAGAGGGTTGCCCTGGTCAACTGGCTCTCCAGGAACTGTGGGCATGGGGTCCACCAGGGTGGGTTTTCCGGCTCCGTCCTCTATTTGATGTTTTTGAGAAGCGCCGTCCGCGCATTCACGACAGCTTTGAAAGCGTCCTCGCTGCCGGGAGCCACGCACTTGTCCGGATGGAGCAGCACTGCCAGCTTCCGATAGGCTTTGTTCACCTCGTCCCTATGAGAGACGAGACAATCATCAGCAAGAGGGTGACGTCCGGAGCCCTTCCTTTATGTACTGCTCCCAGCTGCCACGTTAGGAGGCACCCATCTGCCCTCACTCCCTGCTCGGGAGACAGACCATCGGGGGGGCAGGGAGAAGCGCAGTGGAAGCACAGAGTTGTTCCCATTCTAACCTTCCCCACTCCCGGCTCTTTGCAGTTGCTCATAAATTTCCAAACCTTTTCCCTCTCAGGCTGAAATTTTCCAGGCTTGGACTGTGCCTGAAGGTAAATTATGACGGGAAGCTAAAGGAAAAGCATGCTGACGGCTTCTCAGCACAAGATAAGTGGAAAGAAAAAATACATTCTTCCCCGATGTTTGCAAACAGCCCTCCAACCAGACCAGCTGGGCTTTGCAAGCTGAAGTTTGGCAAGGAAGTGACCCTCCCATCTTTTCATGTACAGTAACTCCTCACTTAAAGTCGTCCCGCTTAACATTGTTTCGTTGTTACGTTGCTGATCAATTAGAGAACATGATTGTTTAAAGTTGTGCAATGCTCCACTCTTACGTTGTTTGGCTGCCTACTTTCTCCACAGCTGGCAGCCTCCCTATGCCCCCTCCCCTCCCCAGCGCCTCCCACCTGCCGGCAGACCCCGCGGATCAGTGCCTTCCCCCTTCTCCCCCCGCCTCCTGCCGGTGGCAATCAGCTGGCTTGTGGTGTTTTGGAGGCAGGAGGGAGAGGGGAGGAGCGAGGACTCGGCACGCCCCCCTCCCTCCCGTGGCACTCAGCTGGCTTGTGGCGTTTAGAAGAGAGGGGAGGGAGGGGGGAGGAGCCAGGACGCAGCGTGCGAAGTAAAGGGGGAGGAGGTGGGGGGGGGAAGAGGCGGGTCAAGGGTGCGGGCTTGGGGGAAGGGGTGGAATGGGCGGGCTGAGGGTTGAGCCCCCAGCCCCTGCTGCTTGCAGAGTAGGGGAAACTGCCCTGGAACCTAACCCCCCCATTTACATTAATTCTTATGGGGAAATTGGATTCGCTTAACATCGTTTCACTTAAAGTTGCATTTTTCAGGAACATAATTACAACGTTAAGTGAAGAGATACTGTATTGTGTGTGTGTATATATATCATAGAATATCAGGGTTAGAAGGGACCTCAGGAAGTATCTAGTCCAACCCCCTGCTCAAAGCAGGACCAATTCCTAACTAAATCATCCCAGCCAGGGCTTTGTCAAGCCTGACCTTAAAAACCTCTAAGGAAGGAGATTCCACCACCTCCCTAGGTAACCCGTTCCAGTGCTTCACCACCCTCCTAGTGAAATAGTGTTTCCTAATATCCAGCCTAAACTTCCCCCACTGCAACTTGAGACCATTACTCCTTGTTCTGTCATCTGGTACCACTGAGAACAGTCTAGATCCATCCTCTTTGGAACCCCCTTTCAGGTAGTTGAAAGCAGCTATCAAATCCCGCCTCATTCTTCTCTTCTGCAGATTAAACAATCCCAGTTCCCTCAACCTCTCCTCATAAGTCATGTGCTCCAGCCCCCTAATCATTTTTGTTGCCCTCCGCTGGACTCTTTCCAATTTTTCCACATCCTCCTTGTAGTGTGGGGCCCAAAACTGGACACAGTACTCCAGATGAGGCCTCACCAATGTCGAATAGAGGGGAATGATCACGTCCCTCGATCTGCTGGCAATGCCCCTACTAATACACCCAAAATGCCGTTAGCCTTCTTGGCAACAAGGGCACACTGTTGACTTATATCCAGCTTCTTGTTCACTGCAACCCCTAGGTCCTTTTCTGCAGAACTGCTGCCTAGCCATTCGGTCCCTAGTCTGTAACAGTGCATGGGATTCTTCCGTCCTAAGTGCAGGACTCTGCATTTGTCATTTCTTTTGGCCCAATCCTCTAATTTGTCTAGGTCCCTCTGTATCCTATCCCTACTCTCCAGCATATCTACCACTCCTCCCAGTTTAGCGTCATCTGCAAACTTGCTGAGAGTGCAGTCCACGCCATCCTCCAGATCATTAATGAAGATATTGAACAAAACCAGCCCCAGGACCGACCCTTGGGGCACTCCGCTTGAAACCGGCTGCCAACTAGACATGGAACCATTGATCACTACCCGTTTTTCCACTGCCTACTGTATTTTCCACTCCATGCATCTGATGAAGTGGGTTTTAGCCCACGAAAGCGTATGGCCAAATAACTTTGTTAGTCTCTAAGGTGCCACAAGCACTCCTCGTTGTTTTTGCTGATACAGACTAACATGGCTACCCCTCTGAAACCTTTCATAGGAGCAGCAGATGGCTTTGAAGGAACTTGGGTTTGATTTAAGAGTTATGACCATTTCAGACTATATATGCAGCATGTGCAGATGTTTTTGTGCAAGCTCAGTTCACCTTGGGGTAGAGGGCCAGTGCAGGCCCCTGGAACTAAGTGGCCTGGGGCCGCATCCTATTTGCATACTGAAGAGAAGATACTGTGTCCTGTGTGTTGGAGGGGTGACAGCACTAACTTAGCCTAGTCACCTCACTTCACAGCAGTCAGCTGATAGGGAGGAACTAACGTTGCGGGAAGGGCTCTTGTGGAGCAAGTGAAGTCAGCAATTCCCTTACCATCAGTTTCTCCTGGCCCTCGTATGTCGGCGTGAGCACCGCCTTCCCCAGCTGCAGAGCTACTAATTTATGCAGGGGGCTAAGGTGCCTGGCGGATGGCAGGTCCTGAACTCTGCCAGAGCAGAAGCAACTTGGAGGGGTCATTTGAAACTTGAATGTATAATGGTGCAGAGGGGGATGCGTAACACACTCTGGCCAGTGGGTTTTACATGTTAAACTATTCTAGACTGTAAGTGCCCCAGGGCAGTTCTCTTCTTGGGCACAATAAATAATCCATTTTGCATTTTAGTACAGCACCTTTCAGCTAAGGATCTCAGAGTGCTTTACAAACATCTGCTGAGCCTCCCAGCACCCTTCTGGGGTAGAGATTCTGGGAATTTCAGATAGGGAACTGAGACACACAGGTGAGTTGACTTGTCCAGGTCACTCAGAAGGAGCCAGGAATCCCAAATTGTCAATCCCCTGCTCTAATCACTTGCAACACTCTGTAGGATGGGTGCTAATGATCACTGCCAACCAGCAGTCAGCCATCTTTAAGAAGACAGGGGAAGTCTGGCAGCTTTTTTGGGGAAAAAAACAAAACACAACAGCAGCAATTTTCACAGAAAGAAGCATTGTGATGGCAAGTCCTTGCCTGCAAGGTGTGGAGAGATAACAGTAGCTTTATGGCAGCACAAAAACTTCCCTACAGCCAGAGAGCAAGGGAAAGATACTGCTTCATCTGTACAAATCTTAACATCTCTCTTGGAGAGATCATAAGGGCTACTGTCAGACGAACTGAACTGGACAAAGAAGCACCGAGAAAGGACAAAAGATTGTGCAGCTGGCGAGTGTACATAGTCAAAAGATTTGTCTCTGTTATAGTGCTTTTTTCATCCCTAGATCCAAAGCACCTGACAATGGAGGCAAATATAATTATCCCCATTTTAACAGATGGGAAAACGAAGGCTGAAAGAGGTGAAGTGGCCAGGAAAGCAGACCAGTGGCAAAGCCTGGAATAGAAACCTGGTCTCCTCAGCCCCAGTCCAGTCCCCGAACCACTGGACCGCACGGTCTTCTGGTTACTTCACTCTGATCTGCCATGTGGCAAGTCAAGTGAAGCTGCATCTCACCACTGGTATTACTCAGTAGCAATGGCAGGAACGGCCTTGCTGGGTTTAGTGTTCTAAGTCCTTAGCACCAGCTGCAACTGTTGAACTTTGCACAAGTAAATCCACAATCTAGATGACCAGTGTTACATCACCCCAGGGGAAAGTACGGACAATGCTACCTAGCACTTCGAAGGTGGCAAGGTGTATTCCATGGGAGGATCTTGAAGTGATTTACCAACGTTAGTGAAGCAGGTATTTCGCTCCCTGTTTTATAGACATGGAAATGGAGGCGGAGAAAGATTAAGCAGTTTGCCCAAAGGCCACAGAAGAAATAAGAGGTACTAGAGAGGTGTTCAAACAGGTTGTGTTCCCAATCAAACCACTTTCCCTCTCTAGCTGGAAACTCTTACCAGGTTCCTTGTTAATTAAAGGATAGTAGCGTCATTAATGCCAAATCAACAGGCTTTTATGGAAAATAGGTCTTATATAAACTTATCATAATTTTTGATGAAATTACAAGTTTGGTTGATATAGTAACTGTTGACATAATACACTTGGGCTTCTGTAAGGCATTTGACCTAGTCTCACATGACATTATGATAAAAAAAAAAAAATCAATGTAGCTCATATTAAATGTATTAAACATTAACTAGTAGATGGCAAAAAAATATTGTAAATGGGGAATCATCATTTTAGGGAGGTGCTTTGAGTGGGGGTCCCACAGGGATCTGTTCTTGCCCCAAAGCTATTCAATACTGTATCTTCATTGATGATTTGCAAGAAAAGGAGGTGGTATTACCTCTGATCACGCCATTAGTGAGACCAGTGTTGGAATATTGTGTCTAGCTCTGGTGTCCACACCTTAAAAGAGGATGATGAAAAACTGAAAGGGGTTCAGAAGAGAGCTACCAGAATGATATGACATCTGGAAAACCTGCCTTATAGCGAAAGACTTCAGAAACTCAAATCTATTTAGTTTATCCAAGAGAAAGTTAAGACTACTTGATCATGGTGGCCTATAACTACCTACATGGGGAAGAGATTAAGATTAAGCGTTGGATCCAATGTTTGGAAGTTCAAACTAAACAAATTCCCTAGGGCTGTGGTGGATTCTCCATCACTTGAAGCTTGAGTGTCTTTCTAAAGATCTGCTCTAGCTCAAATAGAAGTTACGAGCTTGATGCAGAAATTACTGGGTGAGGTGCTTTGGCCTGTGTTCTGCAGGAGTCAGACTAGATGATCATAACGGTCCCGTCTGGCCTTAAAAAAAATATAAATAAAAAAATCTATAACTCTAGTAGCAGTTAATCAAAGACAACTAGGAGAATGTTGAAGCATCCTTTACCTTGTGGCTCCAGGCTTGACTCCCAACATGTCCCAGCTGTCCTTGCTGTTGCGGATCCTCCGAATGGTGTCCGCCTGCTCTTTGGTGAACCCAACGCTCATGCTCGACGTGGGGCGTTTCCCACCATTGTCGCACAGCTCAACAATTGCGGAATAGAAGGTCTGCAAACGCAAAGAGGAATTAGCTGAAAGCTTCCCCTCTTTCTGAACAGAAGCCAGCAGCCCCAGTTTATGTAGCTGAGCAATAAGGCCATTGTGAGTATATTGAAACACGGGTTGTGACAAGGGCTTGCTGACTCTTCGTGCATGCACTCAAAGCTCTAAGACCGCAGAACTTGACACAAGCAACCCTGGAACAGAAGTGCTCTGTTGCCTGCCAGAATAGAGAAGACACTCCTACCTAGTACTATGCTACGACATCTGGCAGAAAAGCCTCTCTTCTCTGTCAGCTATAGAACCATGTGCCTGGAGTCCTCGCCGTACAGCCAAATCAACCTCTCTCTGAATATTGCTGTCACTAAACAGGAGCTATCAATATGCTGGACTCAGACTAGAAAGGTGGAATTTTACCACGATGCAGCCCTTATTATGAACAGGCAATAGATTCTATCGATCACGGCAATTAATGAACATGCTATAAAGGAGGTCACGTATGGGGCCTGCATCCTTTTCACTGCCGTTTCAAGTTACCTGGAACATCTCATTGATTCCTTCTCCTGTCTGTGCTGAAGTCTCAAAGTAAAGAAACCCCCGGCTTTCTGCCCACAGTCGCCCTTCGCTCTCATCCACGCAGCGGTGCTTGGTGCAGTCAATCTGAGCCCAACAAAGTAGAGAAAAGGAATCAGGTGCAAGGAGACACCCCACATATCCAGGTACAGCAGTCGCAACAGGGCTACCTAGAGGGCTGTAGTTGCCTTGATCCCAAAGGCACTGACTCCTGTTCTAACATCTCACTGTGGCATCAGTGATAGACTTCCCAGAACAGCCTTGGGAGGAAGCCTACATTTTCTTGAGCGGGAGGAGAGGGAATTGAAACAGATGACGATTCTGAAATCATGAACAGAATCTGCACGCAAGACCCAAGATCAGGGTGCTGGGAAACCCTGCAAACATGGCTACTAGTGTGTAGAGCACAGATTAGCCTCTTAGCCAGTTCCAACACCCACTTTGCACACTGAATTAATTCCCAGGGGCTCAGAGCAGTTGCTGCTCAACATGCTGCAGCCAGGAATTCCTGGCTCTTCTCTTCATCATAGCATGGTTTACCTTGTTGGCACAGACAACGAAGACAATGTTTTCCATGTTTCCATGAGGTCCAAGCTCCTGCTTCATCTCAGCCATCCATGCATCCAGTGCATCAAATGACTCCTTTTGGCCAACATCATACACGAGGACAACCCCCTGAGTGTCCTTGTAAAACTCGTTGCGAACCTCCCCAGGACAAAAAAGAGTAAGAATGAGTGTGATGGATGCCATCTTGGCGGACACTGGTGACAGGACCAAGGCCCTCCAGAGCTAGAGAACTAAGCTCTGTGGGACTCGCATCCTCTGTGAATGAGGCACAGAGGGGGATGCGTAACACACTCTGGCCAGTGGGTTATACACGTTAAATGGTAAGTGCCTCAGGGCAGGGAATCTGAAACCTGTACAGTAAGGCACTGTATATGCACATTTACGGCTCTGTGTAAGTAAGAAATAATATCAGTAATGTTATTTATGGCAGGGAAGGATCAAGGCCTGGTCCATGAGCACAGTACCAGGAGCCACCAGAGATTCCTGGGATGTAGTCAGCTTGGACACTGACTCTCTTTTGTGGCCTCAGGCAAGTCACTCAGGTCAGCGCTTTTGGGAATCCACCTCTTTTTGGTTCCCAGGCCCACCTGGCCTAGGACCCCATTTTCAGAAGTACTGAGCACCCACAACCTCAGCTACAGTCAGTGTAAGCTACGGGTGCTCAGGACCTCTGAAAATGAGGCCCTAACTGATTTGCCCAAGGTCACACAGTGAGTCAGGGGCCCTGCCAAGCAGGGGCGGCTCTAGCTTTTTTGCCACCCCAAGCACGGCAGGCAGGCTGCCTTCGGCGGCATGCCAGCGGGCGGTCCCCGGTCCCGCGGATTCGGCGGCATGCCTGCGGGAGGTTCACCGGTCCCGCGGCTTCAGCGTACTTGCCGCCGACTCCCCGCCGAATCCGTGGACCTCCCGCAGGCAAGCCGCCCTCGCAGGGACCGGCAGGGCGCCCCCACGGCTTGCCGCCCCAGGCACACGCTTGCTACACTGGTGCCTGAAGCCGCTGCTGCTGCCAAGGTTAAAATTCTGGAGTTCCTGGTTCCCAGTCCCATGCTTCGTCCACTACACCCTGCTGCCTCCATTACACCATTACAGATTGGCAAGTGCTGGGTAGGTGACGGAGGGCAGGGTGATGGATTTATGTCGGTATCCACACTTACGCTACAGGCAATCTGGAAATGTGCTTAAGCAGCAATATTTATCAGTCTGCTCCATAGGTGTGAGGTCATTCATAGTATGTCACTTGCACAGCACAACACTTTAACAGGGGATACAGGAAATACAATTATAACCTCTGAAGCAGTCACTCTGCCAGGGTACGAACTACTGCAACTATGCTGATCTATGCTTCCTACAGATCTTCTCTGCTACCTGCCTCTTATCATCACTTACCTACTGCTTATGTCTAGCTCAGGGGTCGGCAACATTTGGCATGCGGCTCGCCAGGGTAAGCACCCTGGCGGGCTGGGCCAGTTTAGTTACCTGCTGATGCAGCAGGTTCGGCTGATCGCGGCCCCCACTGGCTGCGGTTCGCCGTCCCGGGCCAATGGGGGCGGCGAGAAGCCGCGGCCAGCACATCCCTCGCCTGCGCCGCTTCCCGCCGCCCCCATTGGCCCCAGACGGCGAACCGCGGCCAGTGGGGGCCGCGATCGGCCGAACCTGCCGCGTCAACAGGTAAATAAACTGGCCCGGCCCTCCAGGGTGCTTACCCTGGTGAGCTGCGTGCCAAACGTTGCTGACCCCTGGTCTAGCTATATGATCAGAAGTAATCTAGAATCACACTGAGACAGAACAGACCAATTTAATTCCTAACCATGTGCAGAGAAGAAGCCCTTTCTCCCTTACCTCATAGAAGAAGGGGTGCCCAGCCATGTCAAAGATGTTGACTTTAATCTCGCGATCTCTAATTTGCACTCTGAAATGATAGATGAGAAGCATTCAGAAGGGGTATGACGCTCACACAGCATGAACCAATGAAAGAGCTAACTCCCTCCCAATGATTCCCAGAGAGTTCCCATTTGACAGTGTCCCGTTCTTCAGAGAGAAAATATCACCAAATTAGTAAGACCAAGGCATTTTTACTGCCCTACTTTAGCTTGATAAAAAAAAAATACACGAGGGGGGCTTGTGTGGGCGAATAACTGTCGTGCATGGTAGCGAGTCAACAAAGGGGGACAAAGGCCAACCAGATCTCTTGCTCTCTTTCCATTACCTTTAGCTGGACAAGAAACCCTCTCGTCTTGATTTCTGTACACATCAGAAAGGGAGCAAAGCATTGAAAAGAAATGATCACTCAATCTCAAGATGGTCGGACCTAATCAATAATATAGCTCAAGCCCTCAAACGCCAGTGATGTTACTATCAAAAATCACTCAATAATCAACAGATGAAGATAAGGTCTTCCTGGCCACACTGAGCATGCAGTATATTTTATGATACACATTGAAGGTCATAGATAGCAATATTACGGTACATATAGGAACGTAAGAGATCATGTCATTTTGCCATGATTTCTTTCTTAAGATCCCTCTAATGCTCAAGTTTATACTACATTTACTCACTTGTGCTCTTTTCAGCAAGTGTCAAATGCAGAACTGATTGGTGAGCCCTAGCACGTGTACACAGCCACCATGGTATATGGCTTTTCACTTGCAATTGTTACCCATAAAAGTAGCTAGAAAAGGGCACTTACTTGGTGACGCCATAGTCGATTCCTATCGTCGCTAGGTATTTGGGAACAAACCTCTTTTCACAGTACCGCTTTATGATACAGCTCTAGAACAAGAAGAGAGGAGAATATGAACATGTCCGCACCATATCACAGAGAAAGTTGTTTCACACGATTATTGACCACATTATTGGTATACAGAATCCGTGGCACTTTGCACAACAGGTGAAAACATTGTCACTGTCCTGGAAGGGCGAGGTGGGGGCCCATAACAAACGAATCAACCAAAATAAATAACCTGATTGTGAGCAGAGTTTTATATATCAAGAAGGGAGAAGAGCCAGGGCCTCTATGAAGCCCACTAGGGGCTTTGCTATTGCCAATCTATTTTCCACGGAAGGCGCTCAGATGCTCTGGTAATGGGCAGCTGTGCAAAACCCCGAGATAGAAAGAGCTGACAATCTATCTGACTTGATGGTGACAAGATGAGGCACTGGGGATACCACACATAAGGGATATGGTAGAAGGAATGCATCCGATACACAGGCTTGCTCGGGTGGCATGGTAGCGTGATAAGGCATACGGGTTGTTTGGTGTGCCTGGCAGGGGACCACACAATCTTGCTGCCCCCCACCCAGCGACATTCCTAGGATGAGGCCTTTAATCGAATTCACAGATCAAAGAGGTTTCTACCTACGCTGCTTCTTGTGCTGCACCCTGAGTGCCCTAAACATTTGAAATGCTAAGATGAGGCAAGCCATGTTGTTTGGGACCAACTGTAGGTTGGGTGTAGTAGACCCCTGTAGGCCAGCAAAGAGGATGTTAGAATCTAGCTTAGAAAGCAACAGTGAATGCATTGCAGTCTTTGTGGTGTCAGTAATTTTAAGAGACTAGATTTTGGAATTATTTAGTAAATAAAACTGGCAGTTCTTCACAACAGAATGTGGATGGGAACAAAGGGACAAGGCAAAGTCAAAGGTAACACCTGGATCATATTCCCCCCTGGAAGGTGCTACTTCCTTCTCCTCTCTTTCTTTGAAGGGAGAATCCAACTCTGCACATGCCAGATGTGCTCTCAAGTCTCAGTAACACTACTTTGCTCCACCCAGCAAGTAAGGGAAACTTCTCAGACGCAGGAAGGCACCTAGTGAGCAGCAACATTAAAACACAAAATACAGTCCCCCGGGAGAATCCAGCAGGAAACACGTTGTGGGTAGGCGGCTGCTGGCTCTAGCTCTGTCTCTATATACTTGAACTGGCCAGCCACTGCAATTACACAAAGATTAGCCATGAAGCAACTACTCCTGATGCATGCTGGTCTCCTAAGCAGAACCTGCCATTGCCCCATGTACCACTGAGGCTCTGTGCTCTTTTGGGGGAAGGAGGGCTAAGAAAATGCAAAATGTGTGTAAAGAGAGGCTAGTTTTATGTGACGCTCATTAGGCAGGAGTCAAGACACATGGGGTCTACTCCCAACAGTACTACTGATTAGCTCCGTGATCCTCAGCATTGCCAAATTCACTCCAAGCAATCAAAGCCAAGGAGTTTTCCGGGGAGCCTGTCTCACGAGTTTGGTTTTAAAAAAAGAGAGTTAAGAGTTGTACATTTTGAGTTCCGCCTCTATGCTTTTAAAGCCTTTAGGAGTCATGTTTTCAAGCTTTTCCCTTCACTCATGAAGGCTCATAGATTCAGACTTTAAGGCCAGAAGGGACCATTGTGATCATCATGTCTGACCTCCTGCACACTGCAGGCCACGGAACCTCACCCACCCACTCCTGTAATAGACTCCTAACATCTGGCTGAGTTACTGAAGTCCTCAAATCATGGTTTAAAGACTTAAAGTTTCAGAGAATCCACCCTTTACTTTAAACCAGCAAGTGAGCCGTGCCCCATGCTGTAGAGGAAGGCGAACCCTGTCAATCTGACCTGGGGGAAAATTCCTTCAGTTAGACCCTAAGCTAGTTGGCGAGCCCCACCATGCAGACACCTGGGAAAGAATTCACTGTAGTAATCCAGAACCCTCCCCATCCAGTGTCCCATCTCCAGCGAAAAAAAGGAGACTCTCACATTTTCACATGGCTCCAGAAGCTGGGGATTTAGGAAAGACACCAAATACCACAAGATTCATGCTGTAAAATAAACCCCTCCCTCCAAACACACAACACTGAACAAAAGAACAGCCATACTGGGTCAGACCAAAAGTCCATCTAGCCCAGTATCCTGTCTTACAACAGTGGCCAATGCCAGGTGCCCCAGAGGGAATGAACAGAATACGTCATCATCAAGTGATCCATTCCTTGTCGCCCACTGGATTGTCCTGGGCCAGTCCCTTCCCTCCTTGGTGCCGCACTTTGCCCGCTAGCCGGGAATGATACCGCTCGTGCCTCATGGGCAACAAGGACAAGGCGGCCTCTGCGGTGGGCTCTAGGGCAGGGGTTCCTGAACTGTGGGCCGCGACACAGTCCCGGGTGGTCTGCTGGCGCAGCCATGGGCGGAGTTTGTGGGGGCAGGGGAGGGCATTACAAAGTGGACAGTGACGGAGTGGCGGCCGGCAATGGCCCCTACCCAGGGCCAGAGGAGCCCAATGCCCACAGCAGGTGGCAGAAGGCAAACAAGGGGCTGGCTGCAAGAGACAGTGGCTCCTAGGACAGCTGGAAGGTTCACGACCATTCCCGCTCTGAACCACTGCACCCCGTGATCCATGGTTATCAGGCCCCATGGAGTATTGGCCCCATCGCCCTCCCCCAAGAACCGGGGCTCAGCAGTGCTGCTCTGTCTTCCTCCTGGACAATGCCGTGTTTGGGCCGTCATTAGTAATGGCCAGGCCCGGCTTGAGCACCTGCCTCTACCCAGCACTGGCAGCCCCTGAACCCTTCCCTTGTTCCTGGGCAGGAGGTGCCTGGCAGGAGCCCCAGGGTGCTGGTAGGTGACTGGGACAGGCCTGCCAGGTGATGAGCTCAAGGCATTCAGCGGGGGCTAGCTGTGGCACCTGCCCGGCCCCTTCCCCCTCTCGCTGGCCCTGGTCCCTGCTGAAGCGAGAGACCATGCACGTCCCGTGGTTCCCCTCTCCCTGGTGAACGCGTGGCGGCTCGGGGAGACCAGGCTGCGTGCTCAGCAGCCCCTTGTCTGATTTCCCATTTGATCAGCCAGAGGGGATGATAGCTTGCCTGCCTGGTGGGTGAGATGGAAGGGAGCAATATCAAACTGTATACACTCATCGGGAGAGGGAGGGGCACAGTTTAAAGGTTCATCCGCCCCCTGAACAGCTCGACTCACAGCCCCCTCCTGGGCAAGTCCCCCGTTACCCTTAGTCTCCCTCCCGGACGCAGTGGGAAGTGTTAATACTGAGCCGCAATGCCTGTTGCAGCTGCACAAGTGAGCCTCAGGGGAAAAGAGTTTGGGAACCCCTGCTCGGGGGGCAGCGCCCGCTCGCTGTCTGTCCACCCTGGGGCTCCCAGCAGGTGCCACAGCCACCTGCGGAGGGCTGACAGCGGGAGCCCCGACCACTGTGAAGGAGAGGCTCCCACTGTCAGCCTGGGAAGTAGAAGCGGGGACCCGACTGCAGGCCCCGAGGCCTGGGGAGGGTAAAGCATCCTAAGAGGAGCAGAGGTGAGGCTGGGAGGGCTGATGGGGTGAGGGGGCTGTACCATGGCAGGTTCTGAGCAGACAGGGTGAGTGCTGGCGGATGAACTGAGGGCAGTGGGGGTCGATGGGGTAGGAGGGCTGAACTGATGGGGTGGTGATGAGGAGGGCTGGGGGACTGAAGCAAGGGGGGTTGGGTGGGGACAGAACTGACGGGGGACTAGAGAACAGGATTAATTGCTGGGCAGGAGATGGGCAGATGTGGGGGTGAGAGCTCCTGCAGCAGGGGCCAAAATCAGCGTAGCCTGTCCATGCGGGAGAGCGGGCGACACCCACCGTCCCACGCGCACACCCTGGGCACGGGCAGTTCAAACATCAAGAGACGGGCCTAGAAAACAGACCATGAGCTTTTCTTAGAAAATCCAGGGATTTGGGGCCAATCTCATGGTTTCTGGGGGTCCGACTCATGACCTTTGATGGCTGGAAGTTGGCAGTGGGGCACCAGTAGGGCCAGGACGCCCAGGCAGGGGTGTCCGCTCGGGCGGGCGCAGTTCCCAGCCCAGGGCCCAGCGCTGGGGTCACCAGAATGCGAGTCCTGGGCCCTGTACTGCTCTGAGCGAGGGAGAGTCTCCTTCCCCCCCCCCCCCCCCCCCCCCCCCCCGCGGGCGCCGCCCCCCCCGGCGCCCGCCCCCCCCCCCCCCCCCCCCCCCCCCCAACCAGGGGGGCAGAGCCCTAAAGCCAACAGGGACGTCAGGACGCCCCGCCCACGAGGGGGAGGGGCATAGAAGCAACGGTCCCGGCCCGGGCCTTCTGGTCCAATGAAAGGCCAGAGTGAGCACCCCGCCCCCTCCACCAGTAAACCACCACTCAGAAGCTCCCCCCCACAATGCTGGGGGTCTGACTGGGTAATGAATAATCATGCCCCGCCTCCACCTGCCTACGGCCAATTTAGGAGGGTCTCGATTGACTCACCAGCGCGTCAGTCGAACTTTTCAACCAATCCGCTGCCTCCCTCACAGGCCAACGGGCTGCAGGGCATCCGATTGAACAGCCCGCTTGTCAGTCACTCCCATCGGAGCCAATCCCCTCCCCATCTTGCTTCCACTGCTTCTCACCTTGCCCACCTCGGCGTTGCCCATAGAGATGACTTTGATCCTCAGCGACTTGCGCGTTTCTTTCCGCTTCGGCAGATTCGCCTCCATCCCCGGGAGAGACGAATCTGCCCCTAAACACACGCGAGGGCGGGAGTGACTCAGGAAGCTGCCGCTTTGCACCTGCGAGGAGGGAAAACAACCGCCTCGAACCTACCGCTCCCCATGCTGCTGAGGCCGAGCCGGGATTTCCCCCTCCACTTCTCGCGGGCAAAGGGAAATCGCGCGAGACTTCCGCCTAGTCCTCTCGCACTTTCGCGAGAGCGTCCGTTGGAGCGGGTGGATCAGTTCTCGCGAGAGGTGAAGCGGCCTCTATTATTTTTCAATTTCAATAACTTTATTGACACTTTGATGTAGGGCGAACAGTGCAGCGGGGGAGGGGCGCTGCACTATTGTTTAGAGAGGGTGAAGGCAGAGGGTCCACGGGGCCTAGTGGTGTGGCTAAGGTCGGGGCACCAGGCTGCGGGACTCCTGGGTTCCAGCCCCTGCTCCAGGGGC